TTGTGCTATGTCATGCTTTCAGTTTAATCTAATAATGACACAACTGCTAATGGATCATCTTTCCTCCTGCAGTTTCATGGATCAGCCTTGTTTTTCCAGCACATCCCACAGATGCTTGATCAGATTGAGATCTGGGCAACACGTTGAACTCATTGTCATGTTCCTCAGTCCATTCCAGAACAATTTTGTAGTGTGGCAAGGTGCATTATCTTGCTGAAGGAGCCCACTGCCATTACAAGGTGTACTTGGTCTGCAATAATATTAATGCAGATAAATTTTTCTAATCAAATTTGTGATGGCTAGTCATGCTGCTTTTTTTTTTTTGTACATTTTAAATTTATTAATCTTCTCTGGTGTCACCAAATGTTTGCAGAGACATAATTATGAGCATTATTAGGCCAACTAGATAGTTATTGTGTGTCACCCATAGTTTAGTGAAGAACCGCTAAGGCAGGCACAGTGGGACACAAACTCAGCATAGCCTAACTGCTATTCTTTGTCACGTTCTGATATTTCAGGGAAAAATGCTGCACCCAGGTAGTGACATGCCATGGTTACCAAATGATTTTGGCACAGATAGCCTATGATGCTTACTGTGTACATACCAGATTTTTTTTTTTGTTCAAAATCAGCAGATAAATTTAACATTACTTTTTAAATGTATTATAATATATCTACTGTCACAAGATTGCTTTGCTTTTAAAACACCATCAAAGTGACTTTAGATCCTTCTTTGCAGACAGTCTCAGTCCCGATGGATTGTTGAGGCTAGTCTGAATCGGACAGGCAAATGCACTAGAGTTTGATTAAACCAAACTAAGCAATTGATGTGTGGAAGCACCATTAATTAATGTGCGTTGTCTACAAATACTTAATGGTGAGGAAAGATTCATGTGTGTGGGTGCATAATGTGTGCTTGCACTTGCAGATATGTCGCTTCTGGTGTAATAGCCAGGCTGATGACGTTGAACTCATGCTACATTGTTGCCCCCATGACGCTGTACCTCAGCAGAAGCATCGGCTGGCTGTGGGCCACATATTTCAGACCTGGTTCAAGCTAAATTGCAGTACGGCCATAAAGCTTACTGGCTAATGACTGCAGTGTGTTCACTGCTGTGTTATTGGCTAGCATCCTATTTACCCACCCTGTCTGCTACCTGACAGAATTACGCACTCAGCTCCGTGAAGGTTATGCCAAACTGTCCTTGTGAAAATCATTTGCAGTACTTTGAATTATTGCGTCTGCTGGGGTTTGCATTCACTGTCTAACGATCAAAAGATGAAAGAGATCACACTGCAGTTTTAAGTCTAAGCAGTGTATTGGCTCTGCATTTGGTATGTTTTCCAGTAAAAAGCTGATTTGCAAGGTTAATTTTGTCTCCTGTCATCAGCGCATGTAAAAGAAATCACTGGAAACTGCTCTTGTCTGAGTGTGAAAGGAAGGACTCCATCCTGTAGGCTTTTTATTATTCATGCTCTGACCCTGCCTCATGTTGTTTTGTTCGTCTCCTCATCTGAGCTGACAGGTTTAAGCCAATACCGCTCTTTAAATTCAGAACGAGCAGCTGAGTATAATCTATCTTGCAGCTATAAGCAAAGTTGGAGGAATCTTAAGCCCCATGCATAGTATTAAAGAAACATGCACTGAGAGTGTATTATTTCCATTATTTACTTGTATGTATCAACCCAAGAATGTTAACGTGACAGGAGGGGAAGAGGACAAAGGGAATGACGACCAGATGAAATGAGTTTTAGATTTATAATCCTTCAGCCACAGCCCCCATTTCCTGCAACTTGACATCCTGGGGAAATGTCATGTCAGACTTGAGTTGGTCAGATGCAATGGACAGGAGAGATGCCTCCACATAGCACAAAGACACACACACAAATGTCCCGGTCAGGGGCTCTGTCTATACCCTTGTTCATCTACTTGCAATTTATGCTTTTGTTTGTCACTTTCATGGTCTGCTCACCACCATGCACACTTTTTTCTCTAGATACCCTTAAATCATATCCAGTTAAGATGTCATTTCTTGCCCTTGTGTAGCGGTGGACAATACATACGGATACAAAGGTTCAAAATCTCCCTCTTTATGATACTCGAAGGGTGGTTTTTGCTTCCGGGAAGATTAAAGAGAGCTATATAATTGCACATTGTGCAGGAGGTTTAGGGGCTTTAAATGCAAAGATGATTTCACTAAGGTTGATTTTCACCCTTTCTAAAACTGTTTTTCCTGCTTAAAGTCAGCTTAAGTCCATGTTCCCAAGTGCATTAATTTTTAGCAACAAACTCTGCTCAGTAATAGGAACAGGGTGCATATACAGTATATTTAATTTGTTACACAGTGTCAGGCAGCGGGTGACGCATAACTCCTAGGCAATGTGAAGCTAAAATTCCATCTATTAAAAGAAACATTCTGTAGATGGCTGGGTGTTCATGTTTGAGTTCATGTAGATTCATCCATTCATTGGCATGACAGCTGCATGAGTCGGAGTTGCTCTTCTTTAACCACTCACTTCAGACAATGTGCGGCAGAAGAGTAGATGAGCATGTTTTCTCTGCCACTCTGTCCATGTTGCTCTGTCTCGGTGTGTGGGAGCGGCCTCTGACCTGCTGCAGACAAGCGAGTAGCAATGAGGCGGAGAGCCTACTGAGCCTGCCGCACTCGGATCATTAACATGGAGAGTCATGCTTCACTCCGGCATCAACCATTGTTTTTCTTTGTTTCTGTCCTTGAGAAGAAACATGCTTCATCTTCAGCAGCCCGCATTAGCTTCTTTTAGTTTTACAGGTATTGATTGAGGTCAAGTATTTTCTAATAAATCACAAATTGATGCATGGGTTGTTTTCTTTTCCCCTCTGGTGCCTTCCTTTTCCTTGTGGACTTGTTGGTTAAATTATGGTGTAGCCTATATTTCCTGTCAGAGGTGATCTATTCTGGCATTCATTTCAGCCTGGTAGCAGAGTGATGGTTGTTTTATTAGCTGCACTGAGCCGACAGTTTCATTTTTTTCTGCATTTAGTGTTCAGGGGAGGTGACACTTTATGAATCCCAGAGAACATGACACGCATGTTACATGTGCAAAGAGACCAGGCAGCATGGGGGCTGAGCTGGCTGTTTGAAATGAATGAGGCTTATATCCTTTGATTCAGTTTGTAGTTTCCCCTGCAATCAGAGCAAATGGAATGATGTTATTTTGACTGGTACACACACATTGTTATTTTGTGTATGAGGCTTTTGTACAGTTTGTCTCATTTTTAGCTATTCTGTATAATTGTTCTTAATCTAGGCTCATTTGTGTCTTTTCATGTTTAAAACTGACAGCAGTACATACTGTACATATAATTTGAATATAATGGCATTCTTCCCATTATGCATCGTATCATATCATGACAACTGTCAGATGGATTTCCATGTACTTGAAAACAAACTTTCATGTCCATCTCAGGATGATTTGTACTAAGTTTGGTAATCCTCTAAGTAATAACACTCAGTCCTAGGTGGGCTTTCTGCATGTATTAGCATGCTAAACTAAGATGTTGGACATTGCGAACATTATACCTGTCGTGAGCATGTTAGCATACTGATGTGAGCTTTTAGCTCGAAGCACCGTTGTGCCTAAGTATAGCCTCAAAGAGCCATACACTCTTACCATACTCTAGCCATACGCGTTGTTTCAGTGCAAAATATGAAATTCTTTTTCAACTTGGTTTTAATGCAGTGTACCACAGTGAAAACTGAAGCAAGGCTGTCCTGTAAATCAAAATGAGTTTAAAGTTTAAGAGCAAACATGTTCCTTCAAGAGTTATTGAATTTATTTGATTCAGATGCTGGATTTCTCATTTATCATCGGGCAGCTACTGATTAACAAAGCATTTACTTAAAGGATGAGGTTGGTTATTTTCTATATTAACAGTATCTTCAGTGCTCCCCATACAGAAACTAAAACCAACAATGAATTGCCTCTACTCACTGTTGATGTCTGTCAGTCTTGGATTAGCCTTTTCGTCTGTGCCATTGACCTCTGCTGTTGTTCAATAACAATTAAAAACACATCAGGGAAACATATCACTTAGAGATATATTTCCTCTTTATGAAGCACAAGACCCTAATATTTAAGAATTTCCAGAGACCTCGTGTGTGGGTGGGCCCGCGACTTTTGCTTACTTGTAAAAAATGATGGCCATTCAGAGCCTCTGGGGCAACATTTATAAAAAAAATAATCATGTCAGTGTCTTGTTTCATAATGAAGAAACATCAATTAGTGCAGTGGTGTGTTTCACTGATGTTTTTGAACAATAATGGAGATCTGTGGCACAGACTGACAGACATTAATTGTGAGTAGAGGCAAATCATTGATGGTTTTATTGTCTGTATGGGGAGCGCTGAAAATACTGTTAATATAGAAAATGACCGGCTTTATCCTTTAAGGTGGAATTGGTTCTGCTTATCCTAAATCTGAGTCCACCGGTGTTGTTGGCACAGGGCACCTATATAAAAGCTCTGCACCATTCATGACAGCAGTCATCCTAGCCAGTTCCCACAGAGCCTCTCTCTCTCGCATTGGGGAGATTTGGAGGCGGCTGATCGGTGCAGGTTTTGCCAGCATGTGCCTGATTAGAGATGAGACCCAGTTTTCTCTGACACAGCCCAACATCTCCAGAGATTTCATTTCATTTCTTTCATAGCTCACTCTCTGTCTGCCTTGCTTGTTTTGTAGCTGAGGCTTAAATCTTCCCTGCCTCATACCTGAGCAAAGAAAGCTGTTAAATGATGCTATATAAAATTTAGACTTTGAAAAATGTCTGCTAAATATGTTACTGTTGTCATATATAACTGACATTGTTTTTGAGTCATCATTTGAACAAAACGAGTATTTTTACATGGAAAGGACAGTTATGAAATAGACTGAGATAGACTGCCTAATAGAATTTAGGTTGACTGTTTTGTCATGTCAAAGTCCAGTCACTAGATACTGACCTGTTGTTTGTGCTGTAGAGGGAGATGAAGGAGCAGCTGGCCACGCTGCAGGACAGTGAGAAGGGACACACGGAGGCCCTGCAGCTCCTGCAGAGACAACTCACCGAGACCAAGGTACTAGAACATTTGTAACACAAAACTGTTACTATCACACAAATCGATTGACCAGTGAATCGACTAATGGTCTCAGCACTGATTGTGACACAGGTCTAGACCTGGAACAGCTTGTTGGTTTATTGACTTTTAGATTAACTGAAAATTTTTTGCACTGATTTTGATTATCACTTAATTGAGTAATTTTTAAGCAAAAATACCAGTTATTCCAAGTTGCATTACAGTATGAGCATGCCCTGCCTTTTTGTTCATTCATTTTCATTTTCTACCGCTTAGTCCCTGAACGGGGTCACGGGGGGGGGCTGGAGCCAATCCCAGCCGGCAATCGGGCGAAGGCGGGGTACACCCTGGACAAGTCGCCAATCCATCGCAGGGCTAACACATAGACAAACAACCACACACACGCACACTCCTATGGGCAATTTAGAGTCACCAATCAATCTAAGCTGCATGTCTTTGGACTGTGGGAGGAAGCCGGAGTACCCGGAGAGAACCCACGCAAGCACGGGGAGAACATGCAAACTCCACACAGAAAGGTCCCAGGTGGGGCCCAAACCCAGAACCTTCTCGCTGTGAGGCAACGGTGCTAACCACTGCGCCACCATGCTGCCCGACCTTTTTGTTCTTAATTATAATCATTTTCATGAGTGATTTATTTTCTGTAGTGATTTATCTACTGATTATTAGAATTTTAATCTATAAAAAGTTAGAAAATGGCCAAGGGAGCATCTTCAAATGTCCTGTCCTGTCCTGTCTGATGAACTGTGATGTAGATATTTACAGAAACACAACATCCTTCTAGGGCGGCATGGTGGTTAGCACTATAGCCTCACAACAACAAGGTTTCGGGTTTGAGCTCATGCCAACCTGGTGCCTTCCCTTGGGAGTTTGCATGTTCTCCCTGTGCCTGCGCAGGTTCTCTCCAGGTACTCCGGCTTCTTCCCACAGTCCAAAGACATGCGGCTTAGGTTGATTGGC